AAAAAAGAAAAAATTTTAAAAAAAAAAAAAAACCGCCAAAGGGGGGGGGGGGGGCGGCTTTGCCCCCGCGGACCCCCCCCCCCCCCCCCTTCAAATAATTCGCCCCTGCTGGATCCGCCCTTTCACTTCGAATACTTCCTTATATTCTTCCATATAGAACGGAATCTACCGAAATTGGCGGAATGAGAGAGTAAAGCAAGCTTTTAAGTTAAAACTAAGTTAGTTAAAACTAAGCTCCATACTTTCCCATGAACCATTTTCTGCTCTTTCTCCATGAGAAGCTTCTTTGTGAATCCTTTCTGTTGACAACTTGTCAGCGTCTCTGCTTCCATTGATTCTTTTGTTTTTGGTGAGCTGGTTGTTTTGGGGACATTCCATGTTGCTTCAGATTTTCTTCTACTAGCTTTGGCTTTTCCCAGAGACGCTTTGGCTTGAAGATTAGCGTCACTAGTTTCACTAATGTTGGGGAAGGTTTGCTCCACAGTTTTCTTTACTTTGTCGTTGCGAATCTGTCGATAAATAGAGATGCAAAAAATACTATCAACAGTAAACTCTCATTTTGTTTTGTATTAGAAATTTGAACTTTCAAGGGGATTTTAATTTCCTAAAATTATTGATGACATGTGGTCATGTAAATACGGTATAGAAACAGACTAAGTAAAATATTTTTTTAATGTTGTTTATCATAAATATTCAATGTCCAGGTCCTGTGGGAGAATGTTCTTTGTCACTCTCTTTCTCTTAATTGGAGAGTTTTAAGAGAAAAAGCCCACCAGATTTAACTTTTTTGTATATTTCATTTCTTTAATTTCCTTCCTCGTTACCTCACTCTGATAACATAAGAGTATATGGTTTTTATTGTTTTTTTACAATAAAAAACATGCATATCTTTGGTCACTGCATACTAGCAGGGTTGTTGGGCCGCCTTTTGCAACAAACTCACCACCAATGTACGAACATGATAATGTATATCTTACCAACATTTCCCCTTCTTTTATAGGACCTGTCTCCTTAACGTGCTTACCAACTGCTATGTTGTTGCGTCCGATTTCTGAGAAGATAAAACTATATTAGATATTGATATCACATGGCGGCGACATTGCCCGAATATCAATCGAATCTCTCCTGGGACATTTTTGGTAAGTTGAACAAAAATAGGAGAAAGGGAAAGCAAGAGAGAGAGATGGTTAGTGCTGTAATCAATAAAATATCATAACAGAAATCGCATGTATATGAAATTGGAGGTAGTGGATTCGTGTATAAAGTTATCTTTTACTCACTTAGAGGCGCATAAACCATCCATACCATAATTCCGACAGTGAAAATAGTAATACCTCGAATGACTACCAGCCTGATCTTCATGTTCTCTAACTAAAATAAATAAATAAATAAATGAATGAATAAATAAATAAAAAGAAACTAGAAAAGCACTCAGAGAACGCAAGCCTCTAACAAGTCAAATAATTAACAATTAAGCATTATTTAATAAATGGATCATTACTAAAATGAAACCTATTGTTCCTCGGTCCATTTCTGATTTATTGTAAATATTTCATTAAAGCCATACATATCTCTTTGCTTAATGTTGAAAAAAAAAAAAACGGCAGATGGAACCGAAAACATTACCTTCTTGGCGGAGGTAATAAATATCAGTAAAGACGCCATTTTAACCTTATTCTGTTCCATGGACCTCGCACTTTTTCTAATTAATACGTAGGGACTATTGGTGGAGTTAATGCAATTCTGTCATTCTCACGTACCTATCAGTGGTTCTTTGCAGAGAAGGATGTATGCTTTCAAGTTTTGATAGCAGAAAGCAAAAACGAAAACCGGCTTGGAATTGACCTGTCCAGTGAACCACCAACAGCAATTTATTCTGAGTTTATAGTTTTAATTTTAAACTGAATTCAGTGACTCTTGTCCTTTGACTTTTATATATGCAGGTGATGGTTTCCAAGTTAGATAAACCTATAACTCCTGCAGAAGGCCTTTTCTATTTCTGGCCAACTTTTCCATAGACACCTTTCCCTGTTTTGCTATGTTTTCAGAGTACAGGGAATTTGGGAAGAATCCATGGTACTGTTACCACGAATCTAGTGGATTATTGGACGAGTGATGAAGTTGTTCTTTCATTTTGATGGGAAGCATTCCTGTGATAAACCAGACACTAAATGTTTTTTTTATTCAGAGCTGTGAAATGTTGGTTAAATTGAATTTCTAGACCATCCTGTTGATAAGCTAGAATCTATGGAAAACAGCAGAAGCTCTCCTCAACCCCTGCAAAGCATCTGATCCATTTACATTCACCTATAACTATGTTTCCCTCTACGCATATTCTATACAAATTCATTTGAGACCAGGATGAGGTAAAGTTTGAGATACCAGTATGTATCTTTTGAATTAATAATGCCACTGCTATATATGATATGATATGATAAGATATGATGTATACTTTTTTTCAGGTACGGAATCTTAAAAGAAATAGTCCATTATATTTCAAAAATCATTCTTTTCACGTTTGTGTGTGCGAGCGTGCATTCTAACTCATGACTTTGGAGGGCGAGTGAGCGTTTGCAGGCACGACCTGTGAAAAAAAACGTCAGCAGGTTGAGTGTGTGTATCATTATATTGAGAAATACATCAAGCTGTCGGGAAGAACTTCAACTGTTTATGGAAAACATTGAAATGGAGACCATTTCATTTAGTTGCATTACGTACTCGACAAAAGTGAAAATAGCTGTTACAAATGTAACACATAGCTTGATACAAGTACATTACAATCAGTATCAATTAAGAACAATATTTAAGTTATTATTAATGTCACACAATCTGAATTAGTTCCATATATTAACACTGTGTTACAATATAATTTCGTAAACACCTACTTGAACTACTTGCCTGGTTATATGAAACCGTTCATGATTAACTACAGGACTGACATTATCCACTACCAGATTGATTTAACATGCATGATTTACTACACTCACTTTCAATTTAATGCTTTTATAAGATCATTGGTATAAGTCATAGTTGTTCATATGGTTAAATATTTCTTAACTTACTAGGTGCGACGAAGTAGCTTGAGTAGCCTCTTCTAGATGGTATGAATGGTCAGCCTAAAAGTTGGAATGAATTCTTGGATGTTTTACCTTAACCTATGCCCTTTCGCTTTTGAACGTCGGAGTATCCAGCCACTTGCATCTGACAGGGTATATTTTAATTTTTTATGTTTAATCATCTGCAAGTCAGTCGGCCCCTATATAGTTTTATTATTGAAAGTTTGTGGCTGTCATATTCTGAGAAGTGAAAATTAGTCTACTTTTTTATTGAATGAAAAACGTTGCTACACAATACTGTAAGAATATTGTATCCATGGCGGGAACTAACATGTCTTTGAAACCAAAGTCACATTATAGCCCCGAAAAGTCGTCTTTCGTGCAATCTAAGGAGCTAGGTGAGGTTTTCTCGCATGATGCACTGGATGTGGGCTGAACACAGCAGCAGTTCTTCAGGGTTGCTGGATGCCCCAGGGTTCTGGGATGCCTAAATGGTACCATGGTCCTTACGTCACGAGATGGAGCACCTGTTTGTCTGAACAACATAATAATTGTGCTGAAAATAAAGTTTGATTTGATAAGAAATAAAAGAAGCGGCCTAAATAATTGAAAGAATGCCCAGAAAAAAATAATTAACTGTTGCTTTCCCTGTTTCAGAATACATTTGCAAGAGTTGACTTAAGGGATACTAAAGGGTCATTGTGACAATGCACTCGCTCACCGTTCTCGTATAGTGATTGATTGGTTGCAGCAACGCAATATTCTGAGGATGGAACGACCTTCTTTGAGCCCTGATAATAACATTATTGTGTCCCTACGTCATTGATTTGAGTAATCAGTGCAGAGGAGGTATAACCCCCTAAAAATCTGGACCCACTTCGCCAAGTTGTCCAGGAAGAATAGGACGAAACAGATTTCGTGCCCTTGTTGATGGCACGTCGCGCCGCCTTCAAGAGATAATTGCAGACGCGGTTGACTCACAGGCTTTCAGATACTCGACCTTTAACGAGCAGAGCACATGCTGATGCTAAATCTATGTAAATTTTGTGATATTTGGTGGTGTCTTTTTAATTTAATGGACTTTTTATTTACCTCTGTGGAAATCACCGTGGAACGTCAGATTCCCAAGATTTCAGGGGGTGCATGCTCTAAATTTGAATAAATGGTATAAAATATGGATATCTTAATCGGCATTTGTATTTCTTGTACCATGAGTTATGTTTGATATGGAATCTGGAATAAAAGGCACTGTTCAAAAAGGTTTACAGATTTGAGGTGATCATTTGTAAACAAGAACACATGGAATTAGAGTTAAGATAACCTGTTTGGCCAAGTCTGTAAATATCTTCAAATTTGAATGAATTCTAATCAGCTTCTGCACCCGAGTTTGTGTTGCAAAATGACTGTGAGATCATCAATAATTGTTACACCACCACTCCTTTCAGTTATAAATATAAAGCATGCTATTATGGGAAACTAATATGATAAACACTGTTTGGAAGAAACATTTATTTCAGAATTAAGATAACACGTTAAATAGGCACATAAACTCAATAAACTAAATATCAGACCAGACCCCGAGTACAGGTTACTGCAGAATTTTGGTGTCGCAAGATGTCTATATCTATTTGCCTTGGCTCTTCAAATTCATTAAACTTTTGTCCCACGTGATCAAAATTTGACCCCCTTGGAATGGTTATATTTTTCAAGTGACACGTGTATGTAGATTTTAGCATCGGACACGTGATGATGTCGTGGCACAAAGCCACGTTTTGTACCTTTGGTAAGACGACTTTTTCAATGAAATTCCCACTAGATTTAAATCCACGGGGTTGGCTATATTGTTTACCGAGTTCTAGCCAATTTTGTCCAAGAAGTCCACGAAGTAATTTTGGTTTGGCTCCAATAAGGCATCCCCGCACGATTGGGCTGTGGTTGGGGTGATCCCGAATTATATGAAAAGGAAGTCCTGACGTTAGCCACTCTTCTACAAGTATTTTGTCGCGTTTGCTCAGACGAGAATCAAGGTCTCGGACGATAAACGCTTCAAGGTCAGTATCGTCTGCTACAAGAAAGCGCCACAGTGCGGGTGCAACACTGGAAGCAACATGACCAGAAACCTCTATTACTTGAACGTTCGTCTGCTTTTTTATGATATCTAAATATTTTTGTACTAATTTGTTGTCTCTGTTAAACTGTGGCTCTAGGTATATTCGCATCATCCAAGTAGGAAAGAAGATGCGGAGAAGTTGAGCGTTTCTCAAGGCGCCATGCCAATACCTGATTTTTTCCCCAAAAAGAGAGTAAGCGATGACTTTTCTTGGTTTGTCAATCACTGGAATTTTATCTGGCTGTGCATTTATCCAAGTGAGAATAACTTCTTGCCCTTCGGCTAACAAGTGGGGAAGGTGCGCTCTTCTATTTTCGTTGACACTGTAACGAATGCCATCTCTCTGCGTGTGCGCCAAGTACAAGTCCTTTAACACTTTCATCCGGCCGACGCCGTCGTAAACTAAAGTAATCCATCTATCGGCATACCACTCCGGGAACTGTCGCGGATAATAAAATCCAAACATTTCAACATGAGTCCTGTGTACAAAATCGTACGTTAAGATGGATTTATCACAAGATGAATATTTGCAAAAAAGGGAGGGACCGACCACCCCGACATTTGGTGGGTCGAATTCTGAAAGTTTTTGGATGTATTTTTCCGTCCACCTATCATTGATCATGAGAGTGTCGTCGTTGATGCGGTAATAGTAATCCATGTTGTCAAGGTACGCTGCCATCATGGCGTCATTCTGCGCCCAACCAGGAGACTTAGAATGCATACACAAGACGGGTTTCAAATGTAAACTTTTCCCCTGGCACGCCAAGTTGCGAGTTGTTATTTGGAACGCCTCCCCAAATAAAATGAGAGAGTCGTTACGGCTGAATAACGGGTCATTATAATCGTATGCAATGTAAAAATAGTATCTGTAGTTATCACTGGCTGTTAGGCAAAACCCCCTCATGAGATGAATGAAAAAGGACATATTTTCCAAGAGGTCAGTTACATTCACCCTACCGCTGAGATCAATATTCAAATTGTGTGTTGATATTGCACATCCTATTGCTATGGTAACAGAGTTGTTCATAGAGACAATATTTTGCGCATGCTCAGACTGGTTCCTGGTTTTACTAAGTCTCTCCAGTGCTTTATCGAGATTCTGCATAATTTTCTCGTCTTCATAACCTAAAAATCTGCTGTTTGTGAATTCCTCGTCCACTATGACCGCTTCTCCTGATAATTTTCTGGAAATGTGAAAAGTGAAAAAAAAACGTTATGAAAAGAGTTTTTATACGTTTTTGTAGAAGTAATGTGAATTATTGTAAACAAAAGAATTGCCATGACATTTTATTGAGAACAGTTCGTATTTTTTCGTACGATACAATGAAAAGCGGCCATCCCAATACTCAACAACTTACTTGTAAAATAAAACAAATGTGTTCTGTTTAAATCTTTTTATACGGATAAGGATTTAAACTAAATGAAAGATAATGCAATTACATGTTCTGATAATTATCTACTACTACCCATATTTAATTTGTTACTTTTCTTAGGCAAACAAATATTAGTATAAGGGGTAGCATAGAGGGCCATCAATGTTAAAATGTAACAGTGAAAGCGATATCTTTTGTTAAATAAAAAATCAAGATATTTATATTACAATACACGCAAAACTGGTAATATTCCCCACATTTTTGCCTTCAGAAATCTGGTGTGATTCTAACCAATTTAATGGATTGCGCCTCGTTTTCGTTTGTGTAAAACAAACCGTGTATTTGCATAGGGAATCAATATTGTTATCGTAGCAGTTTTATTTACCGAAGCAATTCCATTGGTATAGTGTAGCAAAACTACAATGCATTATACGGCGGCGGCATTGACACAAGGAATGGGCTTACAGCATAATTGAAATAACAATCTAATGTAGTGTATGGGTGAAATTAATAATTGATGTGCGGTTTATGTGTAAAAGCTTTCAGTATTATATATATACAGCTGTATAGTCTAGTTTCCTTGCGTTTGCGGGTCTCTATCAAATTCATAAGATTTTTATACTATCTTAGATTTTGAGTTCTAAATAATCAAACTAATTTCGAAAAGGGGCTTTTGCCAATACTATTTTAATGTATCTTTTAAATATTGCAAATAAGCAAATAAACACCGTTACCCGGCCATATTACCATGGTAACGTTGGCCTTAATTTTTTTTCAGATTCGCCGGACTTCATCTCCATCAACAGTGAGATCGTTTAACGTGTCCCCACGCGACAAATTTGCTAAAAGTCAATTTTTCTCGAGAAAAGAGGGGCAATTTTCTCCTAATTTTCGAATTATTAGTCTGACAATAGTTATTTGACAACCTTTTGAAGTACAATCAGGCGCGTCAGATTTTTGATACTATGTTTTAGACTGGTGTTTACAAGAGTCCAGTGAAATTTGGAAACGTTATAAGTGATAAAATGTAAACGGAGAGATTGTAAGAAAACCAATCAGTTTGTAGTACTTATACATGTACATAGCCCCTATTAGCTGTTGGGATTTTTCTGATAAGAACACAGGAAATAACGAAAAACAAGGAACCCAAAATATCACTTTTACTCCAAAAACTGCTAAGTATGACGTCATGAGCAAAATGGCAATGCTTCATTTGAAGACATATAAAGTTCACGAACATTTAATGAAACATCAAGTGTTATCATGTATAATGCTATATGAAGTTTGTTTTATCAACCTAGTTTGGCTAAAGGGGGGACTGTCCTGAATGCTTATTTTGGGACTCTAACGAGTCAAAAAACTGAGGAGTAAGTACCTCAGTGTTTATTAGCTCGATGTTACCTTTTCAATCAATTGCTTTTTTTTATACTAGAAATAAATAGAATAACAATTAATACGAAAACAGTAAGATGATTATTGACGGTATGCAATAACAAGATGTTTTATATGGATTAGACGATACTATACTAAAACATGCCTGCTATCATAATGTTAATTTATCAGCAGGGGTCTGTATTCCGATGCCATTTACGAGTGATACAGAGTCCCAACTTAGTGTTTTAGACAGGTAAGCCCCAGCCTAGATTTTGACCCAGTTAATTTTAATTTTTTATTAAAATAGCTTACGTCAAGTTAACGTGACAGTAATGAATCTACTGGGGGAACACCCTCTTAGCACCGGTTAAATATGTTATCTAAGCCTAATCAATAGACCGGTGTGCGTGTTACTGCTGTTAAACTGGAATCACTGCTATGTATAATACTGGCAGTAAACTAAAGCTAGAGCACATATTACTATTAGATCTGTGATGATAGGAGTATTCGTCTTTATAATCTTCCCCTGTAGTTCAGTTTTCTATTAATTCCAGCCTTCTGGCTGCTTAGACTGGCAACTCATTCTTATTTTAAATCCATTGTTTTTGTGGGGGATACCTTGCCTTTCCCCGAAATTGTGATTTTGTGTTTTCATATTTGTCATCATACAACCGCTTGCGGGCTATATACGTTACACACAACCCATATATATGAGCAATATATAATCTTTCATAGTGGCATATTTGATCAATGTGAAGGCACCTTACCTGTTCAAATACACGATGTTACATATCAGGACCAGGAGAGCGAATATGGCAGTAAGAAGCAGCATGTTCTTACTGGAGTAATGGACCTCGCACTCGGTGCGCAGTCGTATGGCACCCGTGCATAGTCCACGGTGACGGCTGGCCACCATTTTGCTTTCGACCCCGGTCACCTTTTCCTCAAGAGCTCCGTCACACCTGAATCAAAACAATGGCATATCTAGGTCAATGGTTAAAGCACCTGGCCACGGCGTCCCTCATACACACTGCCAAACTCTTTCCTCATGTTGACAGTGTAAGGTCGGTAAACCAAGCAGCGGTTGACTGTGGAAGACGCTGTGATGAGGGATGGCGTAGTTATACTATTAATGGGATATCGACCTGCAGCTGTACGAGTATCGTTCAGTTTGTTATGTAATTTTAAACGGCACAGGTGGACGAAAGGAGTACTCAGCTGACTCAGCGATGGTTGCCTCAGTTTTCGCCTTTACTTTCGATACAAGGTCACTTGTACCACAGATAAAGGACTAAAAAAATCCCCGTGATGCGCAACTGAAAGGCGACGCATTTCCTTTCCCTGGTCGCGCCGCCGTGTTTACTCTGAATATATTAAATTGTAGCATTTCATTTGCTATCACTGTCATTTTGTATCAGTTCACGCAACAATTTTTCTTCTAGCCATGCTGCATTACTTTCGCTTGTAGAGTCCGGAGTTTTTTATGAGGGTCCCATTCAGGCCTACCCAACTACCAGACTCAGCACCTAAGGATCCTGAATTAACCGGTATATCGGACCACACTACCCGTTTTCAAGGTGTGTGTCATATCGCATTTCGGAGTATAACACCCCAGAACAAATTTTGTAGGAAGAACGCGGGCTCATCCACGCTCGGCTGTCACCTTGATTGGATAGTAAACGATTGTCGTAAAATCGCTATATGATTTAAAAACCTGGTGCATAAATTTGAAAACCACCTAGAACAACCTTAGACTGTAGGCCTACTCATACTTTAGAGTACTCTATTTTATTGTCTCTATGGGGGTATATGGGGACTTTACGACATTCGGTTTGAATGTTTTAACCACTTTTGATAGGGCTTTTTTTGCATCGTATTAGATTAATGTGGCAGTTTAAGGTTGTTCTAGGTGGTTTTCAAATTTATGCACCCAATTTTAAAATCATATAGCGATTTTACGACAATCGTTTACTATCCAATCAAGGTGACAGCCGAGCGTGGGCTCATCCTGTCGGTGTTCTGACTGATAGGCCTACTCAGAAATGCGATCTGACACACACCTTGAAAACGGGTAGTGTGGTCCGATATACCGGTTAATTCAGGGTCCTTATGTGCCGAGTCTAGTAGTTGGGTAGGCCTGCCATTGAGTATTTTCGTTATACCCACGAAAGCCTCCTTTCATTTCCTGAGACACGTGAAACGTTCATAACATGATCCGTGAAGCACCCGATTCCCGTGACTCGTAAATGTGGCTTTTCATTCTTCGTCCTTTGTGAAACGAAGTCATTAAACTCAGTGATTAATGATTTGCTACTCGCATTTTCAGTGAGATAGGCCTATGAATATGAATAAAATTTTATTACCTGTGATTCATGAATTGATATTATTATTCCCCGTTAAGGTAGATCGGTCGTTAGATGTTCCAACGTTCGAATTTTTTTTAAATTTATTTTGTTTGAAGAGACACCCAAGTACATTAAAAATTTGCAAAAAAAATTGGGGGTCACCGACCAAATAAAAGAACTAGCCCCAAATATGATACACCCTGCATATCACACTAGTCCCCATTCAAATCAATGGGAAAATGGGTGTTTTCTCACTAAAGCATTATTTTTTATGACTTTCTGACGTTCGAATTTTTAAAAAAATTTTTTTGTGTAAAGAGGCCTCCAAGTACATTTAAATTTTACCAAAAAAATTGGGGGTCACCGACCAAATAAGAGAACTACGCCAAGTTGAAGTGCATTACACCCTGCGTGACGCACTAGTCCCCATTCCAATCAATGGGGAAATGGGTGTTTTTCACCAAAACGTTATTTTT